ATCATGTTTAAGACTCAAGGGAGTATGGTACTCGACTCTCGGGCCACCAATCATGTAGGCAACTTTGGGGATGACGGACACGTGGCCTTTGGCACCGAGTCAGGGTTTCCTAAATTCCTCCTTAATAAAATATTTAGGTGGCGACTCTGTATCTGGCAAAGCAGTCCATGTTTGGCACTTCTTTCAAAATCTGTTTTCTCAAAACGATTTGCCGGATTTGGACTCTTTGGTTCAGACTTAGAACCGTGACAAATTTGAGAGTCCTGAGCTGTAGTGACCCCAAAATGAACGGAACGGGAGCTCGTTCCTCCCGGGGCGTTCGGGGACGTCTACAGTCACCTTGGTTACAACCAAGATGAGGTCGTGTTAAGGACCAAACATGGATGTTAGTACCCACTTTCCATGTTGTGCCTGTTATGATTAGCCAAATGCGATATCTCATTTGGCGCCTAGAAGGCGAGCAAATAGAGAATTCGGGTTAGGCGCTAGAAAGCGACTAGACTAATATCTGTACGGTGTATCGAGTATGACATCACTCTTTTGGAAGAGTTACTCCACCGTAGCATGTATTCATACTATATGTGCTTGGCGACCGAGTAATGAGGTGAGAGAATGGATCCCTGTTTCCTCACCGTGTGAGTCTTACGTGTCATTATTGATATGACTTTCATTTTTGTACCCTTTTGTGACTTTTGACTATGTCATAAGGTAAGGGGTTGATGTTCTGCTACTTTGGTATATTGCCTGCGGTCACGTATGATTCGGCCTTAAGGAACATCACTAGGAAAGTGGTCAATCCTAAACTAAATGGCATGAGGGCAAAGGGAAGATCATATAGTATTACACCACTATTGTATATTCACTGCCGGCAACTCACATCGCTCTGTATGAGATACGGATTGAGTGTGAATATATTGCAAGAATTGAGAGGGTCAAACATACTCTTTTTGAGGATTAGAGATGTTTTTTGGGCCGGTGTAATTAGATGGGTCTGGGGTATATGAGACACTATTTCTATTTTTTTTGGGTTGATGTCTCTATGCTGGTTCATTTTGAGTTTCTAGTATAGAGCTCCCACATACACGTGTTCTCAACAGTCGCACGGTGCAGTGGTTAGTATGAGATTGTTCATTTTTTGGGAAGATTGAGATAGAGATGTGTCAGTGTCATGCCAACTCATGTCCGAGTGGGAGATGTTAGAAATTGGGCGCCCATGTGGCATGACCCTTTGAACCTTTTGAACCTTATCCATGTAAGTTTGAATTTGAATTCAAAACTTACTTGGATAACCATTCAGGATATCAATATCTATCATATCAACTGATATGGATAGATGAGATATTATCCTATATATCTGATATGATATGGGATATGGGTGATTAAGAGAAAAACAACGTATGTCGTATATTTTTCCCATATACTGACTCTCTCCCAAAAATACAACGATCAAGAGCCACTTTGCACTATGACTTGTGTGGGTGATATTCATTCTGTAATATCACTCCATTGCGAGGTTGATTAATCAGATTCAGGAAGCACGTGATTACCCATGAGATCCTTCAATTCAGACTCTGCAGAAAAATGTATGACCACAATTTTTCATCCGCTGCGTTTATACTTTGTTTTACAGGTGTAACAAGAATTATGTGATTTTTTTTATTATTCTTTAAATTGATTTATGCTATTAATGCTTGCCTCCAAAATGACATAGAGGGTATTAACTATCACTATCCAACTTTGACCATCACTATCCAAATGAAATTGCTTTAATTAGTTGAGGGAAATACTTTTCACTTGCATGGAACGACCAACTATTGGATTGGCTACACGCCGCACTCAACTCCAACATTGTTTTGTTCTATTTTGTTTTGTTTCGTGTTGGTTTTAGTCCCAATTGACAAACAATTAGACCATCACGAAACTTGACGAAACCACCAAGGACATGATACGCCACCAGCTCGATGCCATTTGTGCTATTCTTGAGCTCAACAATGGCATGCATTATTTCCAAGCCCCACCTCTAAGGCAATCCTGATCTTGTCATTGCTGTTAATTTTTGAAATGAATTTATGACCAATTGAATTATCAATTTGAGAGAAGCTTAAAGGGCAAAACACTAATAAATCCTAAATTTTAATTTGTTAAACCATTTGGTCCTGCTTTTTATTTTGTAGACTAATAAGTCATATTTGAATGTTAAAAGCTCATTATAGGCCTTTTTTAGATTTGTCTCCTTTCCGAACATCAACAACATTAACTACACCAACAACATCATCAAACATCATCAAACATCAACTACATCATCAAACATCATCAACATCATAAAACATCATGGTCCTGCCTTTTATTTTGTAACCTAATAAGTCTTATTTGAATGTTAAAAATTCACTATAGGCCTTTTCTAGATTTCTCTCATTTCCGAACATCAGCAACATCATCAACACCAACAAACATCATCAACATCATAAAACATCATCAAACATCAACTACATCATCAAACATTAACTACATCATCAAACATCATCAACATCATAAAACATCATCAACATCGGCACGTAAAAGGTTGGTGGAGGAGGGAGTCCAGTACTGAACTTCATTTTTATTATTATTTATTTATTTTCAATATTTGAACTTCATATAGTTCCCAGTACTGAACAATATTTCTTTATTCATTCACCTTAGTCCACGACTTTGAGATACTGCAATTGGGCCTTCATTTTAATACATTATCACCCTAAAAAACTTAAAAGTAAAATTTCCACCAGTGTCATTGCCCTAATCATCGCAATGCCACTGACTACTTGATTTTTCTATTGCGAGTCGAATCGTCCACCATGTCAAACATCATCATACATCATCAATATCACCAAACATTGTGAACAACCTCAAACATCAACTACATCTTATAGACTAACAAAGATACCATACCAAAATATAAAAAGATACCATACCAAATATAAAAAGGACTAAATGGTTTAAAAAAAACACTCAGGACTAGATAGAGTAATATTTTCCAATATGGGATTTATGAGTAATTTCTCCAAGCTTAAACTTTTTTGGGTCTAAGATTGAACTGGTAATTAAAAATAGTAAAAATTATACTTTCGCTCTTTAAAATATAATTCTTTAACATCTTGATCTTTAAAGAAAATATTTTCTATTTTAGTCCTAGAACTATCATATTTTTTTTACTTTTGTTGAAATTTCAGTGATCATTGTACTTTTATGATGAAAAATAACATGTGGCTCATATTGACTTAACCCGACCCATATCTATGGATAGGGATGGTTACTGGTCAAGTTTCTAGTAACCTGGCTCCACTCCATATCATATACGGGATAGGAAGGAGCAGGGCGAAAGATGGATTAATTTTGTAAATATTAAAAAATGAGAATATTAATAAATAATATAATATATTACAAAAAATTATAGGTAAAATCATAAATATTTGAATAAATTATCTTGACCTCTTTTAAAATGTGAGTCTATAAAGTTTGATCAAATTGAGTTTTCTCAATTGTGTAGTTGTATAAATTATAATTATAATTTGATCCTAACATTATTTATACTGTGCCTTCAGGCACGGGCATACGCTAGTATATATATATTTCAGTATAAAATATATGACAATATTATTTTTTCATACCTATATAATAAATAAATTATTGATAAAAATAAAAATAAATATTATCTAAATTGAAATTAAAAAAATTAAATATAATTATTATAATTTATTCAAATCTTAAGATAGATCAGTATAATTTATGCTAAATAATTTTTCTTTTTAAGGAAGTGTAGTGAAAGACTACTAATATTTTACATTTACGTTTACATTTTTATTTAATTAATTTTCTTGTCCGGACGGAGCAACCCACCACCCCATCGGCCACACCCAACTCCATCGCTGTCCTGTTCTGCTCTGTCTGTCTGGGTCCCAATCTCACCTTTGCCAAGATGATGACAGACGATGAGCTTATCACGAAGCTTGAAGAAACCACCAAGGACGCGCCGCGCCACCAGCTCGATACTCTCCGCGCCATTCTCGAACGCAACGCCGGCGTACGTTATCTCCGCCGACACTATCCTACGCCCGCCGCCGTCGACGCCGCTACTTTCCGGCGATCCGTACCCCTATCTTGCTACGATGATGACTATGCCGATCACATCCTTCGAATCGCCGACGGTAGTGATGATGATCGGCCTTTACTCTCCGTTGACTCTTTGGTCTGTTTCTTCTACAGGTATTTGTAATAATTGTCTATGATTTTGAAAGAAGCTAAGTTAACATTCATGTAGGAAAAATAAGAAATATTAGACAGCGAAAATAAAGGGATTCGGGTATATTTTTTACGCTCAAACTGAATTCATGGATCAATGGAGTAGAATTACTAGAGAATTATGCATACTCACTGTACAAAGGTTATTCTCTGTTTCTACAGAGAGAGAATAGAGAGTCTAGGAGAGGAAGAGAAAGTTATACGGTTAAATTCTTAGTATATTATATTATATGAGACAGTTGTAATCTCCCACAACTCTATTTTCTCGAGAGATGAGATGGTGAATTAATTACACTTATCCCAAGATAAGGTAATCCAAGTCCACGTAAGTTAATCCAAGTTTACTTTGACTGGTTTCCTTGTGGGTTTTGGGTCATGCCACCGTGGGCAACCCAATCTGGTATGGATTCTAAAACCGACCCACTTTCCAACATCTCCCACTCAAACATACAATGGCATGACACCACGCTTCTTTTATCTCAATCTATCCATCAAACATGATCATACTTGTCAATGGACCGTGCAACCGCTGAGAACACTTGCATGTGGGAGTTCTATATTAGAAACTCAAAAGAGCTAGCATAGAGACATCAGCCTGAAAATAAAAAGTGTCTTATATACCCCAGACTCATCCAATTACATCGGTTTAAAAACATCTCTAATCCCTCAAAAAGAGCATGTTTGCCCCTCTCAAATATTACAATATATTCACACTCAATCCGCCTCTCATACAGAGTGATGTGAGTTCCGACAATGAAAATACAATAGAGATGTAATACTAGATGGTCTTTCCTTTGTCCTCATGCCATTTAGTTTAAGTTTGACCGCTTTTCCACGGATGTCCCTCAAGATCGAATCATACATGACCGCAGATAATATACCAAAGTAGCAGAACATCAACCCCTCGCCTTATGACATAGCCAAAGGTCACAAAAGGATACAAAAGTAAAAATCATATCAATGATGACATGTAAGACTCACATAGTGAGGAAATCGGGATCCATTCTCACACCTCACTACTTTATCGCCAAGCACATGTAGTATGAATACATACTACGGCGGAGTAACTCTTCCAAAGAGGGACGTCATACTTGATACACTGTATGGATATTAGTGTAGTCGGTCTTAAGTGCATAAGTCGCTTTCTAGCGCCTAACCCGAATTCTCTATTTGCTCGCTTTCTAAGCGCCAAATGAGATCTCGCATCCGGCTAATCATAACAGGCACAATATAGAAAGTGAGTACTAACATCCATGTTTGGTTTCTAACACGACTTTATCTTGGTTGCAACCAAGGCGACATAAATAGTGGATAATTTTAAGCCTCTCTTGGCTTCAAATAAAATAAACCACTAGTCTCATCGTTGCTCACTCCCAAGTGCCAAGGGCGCTTGTTCATGTGAGTGAGCTAATCTTGCTTGTTCATCATCTACTAATCATTATGGCACAAACCATAATAGCATCAATATTTCATAACATCACAAAAACAAGCAATCGATTGAAAAACACAACCACAGTTTACGCAATTCAAGATTCCAAACATAGGCCCTATCAGCATCTCTTGTGATTAGGGATGAACAACGGATATTCCGATCTGTCCAAACTGACCGAACCGAACTTATCCACTGCATTTTGGACGGATACGTGATGACGAACGGACGGTTACAGATTAATTTTTTTCAATCCGCCTAATTTTAGACAAATAGCGGATTTGAGGTTCCTTTGGCTACAACCGAACTGCCAAATTGCAAGCACCCCTAATAATTTGTAAGATTTTGTATTTTCAATTGAAAAAAGTTTAGATATTTTGTTGTATTTTCAATTTGGAATTTTTTTTATCAAATGGAAAGTGTTGATATTTGGTATTTTTGTGTGGAAAATATAAGGCTTAATTTTGTCATTTTTTTAAAATAATCAAATTAAATAGTTTTTGAAAAAAAAAATAATGAAATAGTTTTGATAATGCATTATTTTTTTATATGTATTTATTATTGGTATTTAATAATTTACTTGATAATCTTTTGATTATGTTGAGTTGAATTGTTATTCAAAAAAAATTTTGATAAGTTGTTGTATTATGTTCAAAATTTATAAAAGTTTAAACCGCCAAGCTGATCCGCATCTATCCGCCAATTTGCTCAATCTACATCCGTCAATCCAGCGGACGGATGGCAGATTGAAAGTTCTTTGGCCATAACTAAACCGCGAACACCCCTACTTGCGATAAACATATATAATGGAATCTACCATGTGGGCCTTACATAAAGTGGTTCAAGATCACTTCCTCTTGCACAACTACCTCTCTAAAGACATTCTAGTGACCAATTTGCGTTCATACAAGATGCGCCCAACAAGCGCATTGAATCTTACAAGGGACAAATTTATACATTACCAGTAGAGCATCCTATCCATAGTCTAATGAGCAAGGTCAATGCCTAAACTATTTAATTAACTATTTACAAAAGATAACACTCATCATGCTGAATACGCCCACATAGCGTACGTCAGGCTCTCGCAACAAAAGATCAAGGAATATAAGTCATCTATTTCTCCCAGAGACAATCTAAGGATTCACTCAATAGTTGATCACGAAAACTCTTGTCTAATTGATCTCGACCTCATATGTGCAATGTCAAAAATCATCTCAAAACTTTTGACTCACGAGAGATCAAATAGTCTTGACTAAGATGCGTATCGTAATCTATAAATGTGTCTAGATTGGGGCTAGCTATCATACCCTTACACATATCCAGTCACAAATATCATAGTAGACTAAATGGGCCAATACAGATGCCCTTCTGCGACTTTTCTACTTACTTGTGCGCAACCATTGCGAACAAAGTTACACATTCATATGAGAGCAAGATGGCACAAGCGAGTGGGCTCGAGAGGGCCTACTTAAACCATCCATGTCATCTTCTCATTAATGTGACCAATGTACAACAAGCCACCAGTTTATAACCAATGTCATAAACTAATTTCAATCATCCTAATGTGTGAGTTTTCGAAGACAAGTATAAAGGTTTAGGCCCAACTAGATAATGACTTAGGACTAACTAATGTTCACTAGATCATAAAAGGATGTCATGGAGATATCAAGTGTGCCTAAGTCGCAAATTTAACTAGTAAGTACTAATCCCCTGCACTTTTAAATCAATTTTATTCTACATACACTTTATTGCATCTAGTTGAAACATAACGATACTCCTCTTGTCATCTTTGTTTCTCGCTTCATAGTTAGTTGCAATTAATTCTACTATCCACAAGAAGGAGAGAATAAGCTACCAATCTATAACAGCTCCTAAAGCAACTTAAACGCGAATTAGACTAAGGAGTCTAATTCAACACAATGCTCTCACGAGCGATGCGTCAAATTCTTAAAGTCATAACAACCTTATCGGTCTTGACCTTTTCATTATTATGTTGCAACTTGTGCGCTTAGTGGTAAACGTTATTCAAAAGCATGAGCCTAGCTAAGGAATCATACAAAAAAACACCTCTTCATGTCTCACACTCAAGTGTGGAAACAGTAAGTGTCCAGACTTAGACAAGTTGGCAGTGCTAATAGATTTTGCAGCCACTAGACGCTTCACTTAGTGTTAATTGATTTTGCAGCTTCTAAGCGCTAACCTTTTAATTTCAAATGATACTTCAACGCACACTATTATAGTGCGTGAAATTTTGCTCCATCTACTTCCATTAGTTGGGAAGAGAGAAAAATATTGCTCATACTGGCTACTCGTCTTACACTTAATGATTAAATCATTTAAGCTCACAATTCTTGGATGATGTGACTCTTGGATGTTGCTTCATCCAATGATGCAACATTATTACAAGTCAAATTACAAAGCCAATCCGCGTAACTCAATAGGCAGGATCATATCTAGATCTATTAAGGGCTTTACTAATTTCACAACTTCAAACTCGCCAATCAAAGCTACTTAGCATGCCGCTAATCATAGTGCACACATAAGTTTTTATTGCGCCAAACAAGGCAACAAAGCCACAGCGATGTTGAGTCATGTTTTTTTACTTTGGCTCAATTAAGGTCTGATCTAAAATCTTTATGTATTTCTACTCATCTAAAGAATAGGATTAGATTGTTCACATTTGAACATCTCCACTAAGTCTAGGTCAACCAAATTAACTTCCATAAGCTAAGTCAACTAGAGGGAAAAAATGTGCATTGGGATTAATGTGATTAGCATATCACAATATAATTTTGCCGCAAAAATTTAAATTAAATAATGACAATATTACACAAGTTGCAAGATTAAAAATCTGCTATGCTCGTAATCATCTCTTGCGTCACAAGTGACAATTATCCAAAATTTAATTTAATTCATGCAAAATATTAGTTTTTGGGAGTAAATGTACAAAGATTTCTCTCAATTGAACAACCTCTCACTAATATGAAAAGATACTTGTTTCTAACTTCTGAGCAATGGGTGAGAATGCGAGGTTAAGAGTATATGGCGGGGGAGCTTCTAAGCCACGAATCGAACATAAGCTTATTACCATTCAGATGGATGTTGAATCCAGAGGAGGTTCAGCGGTGATCATTGAGAGGAATCGACTCAGGAGTTACACTATGAAGATAGATTTGGGGGGTGTCTCTTGGGCCATACAAGCTTTGCGACAGGTTTGGGGTCAGCGCAGTGATAAACCTTTTTTCTCCAAATACACGAGCAGTTCTGCAGTTTTTTGGATCCAGAAAGTCTGTAACAAGAATGGTGCTGGAAATTTGTGTTAATGTATATAATAAGATAGTGACATGTATATAATATGATAGTGGTGTTGATGGCAGATAGTGGCATGTATGGAATATGATAGTGGTGTTGGTGGCAGATAGTGGCATGTATATAATATGATAGTGGTAGATAGTGGTAATATATAATATGTAAGTGGCATATAATGGGTTATAATGATGTTTGTAATATCTCCTATATAAGGAGTGTCATTTGG